ATTTAAAAATTAGTATTGATATTGAGGTGCTTGCACCTTTTTTGGGATCCTAACAATCAGCTCAGAAAACAAAAATAATAATATAAAATTTAGGACTTTCTTAACCCACTTTTTCCAGTTATTTTTGTTTTTACTAGATTTTTAGGAATTTTTATATAATATTTTTAAAAAAATAAAATTAAATAAAATTATTGACATTTTATCCCAGAGTTACAAACTTTTGGATCTGAGTATATCATTCTCATTAATGTTTTTCAGTATTAACTTTGTACTGTTAATACTGAAAAACATTAATAATAGTTTTATAATGCTAAATAAAATTGTTATAAGTATATAAGTAATTTTTTTTACAAATTTTAATTTTAAAATTTTTGTTACAATTCAGTATATTTATATACCTATACTGCTTAAAAATATAGCGCACTTTCTGTTTATTATTTTCTCTTATATACCACTTAAGATACATTTTTTTGCGGTTAATTAAAGCATATATCCAGTTTATTGAAACAATATTGAAATTTATTTTAAAATAGCAAAATAACTGCGCTAGAATTATTTTACAAAACAAGTCCTTAATTATTGATTTAAAATTATAGCCCATTTATAATAAAATTGACAATACAATATTCTTATACGAAATGTTTATTAATATTGGAATTCTGAAAATATTAACCGTTGACCAATCAATCATAATATAACCCAGCAAATATTAAAAGAAGTACTTCCAAACGAATAACATTTATCACCACTTTAAAAGTAGCACTAAGTGAATTTTTTACCTTCCGAGGGAGTGATTTTTAAAGACTTCCGAAGAAGCGAAAATAATTATATTTTTTCAATGCTGAAAATATATTTTTTGTTCTTACATTTTTATGAGATAAAAAACGTTATTTTTTGGCTTTTGTATTAAATGTGTCTATTACCCTTATTGATGTTAATATTATTTATGTCAAATTAGTTGTATTCTATAATATAAGCTGACCGACCATACGCACAGTGGTATAGGAAAAAAAAGAGGGAAATAATTCGGTAACTTCTAAACGGTTAAACCGATGAAATTAGGTATGCACAAAGAGGAGGTGTTGTCGAGTTTAGGTTTTGAATTTGGACCTTATAGGCCAACCAGGGGCCCGGCGGGGGGTCCTCAAATTAGGACACCTCGGCTATGTTAAATTTTTAAAACGATCCTATTTCTTCATTTGAGCAGTAAATTATCTCTTATAGTTTAGGAGATATTCGCATTTGAAAATTAAAATTTTAAAATTTTTACCGTCTTTACTTTAGTTTTTTGATAATAGCGGGTCCAAATATTCCCGATTTTCGCCATTTTTTTTATTCGCTTAACAACAAGTTTATATATCAAGCAGTGAAAGAATTATGTAAAAATCATGACTGAGTCCAAAGTTATAGGCATTTTAATTTAAAAAATTAAAAAAAAGGCGATTTTTTGTCATTTTTTTGGGAAAAAAGTATCTTTTTCTTTTTAAGTTATCTAAAAAGTTTCTAAGAAGTTGTATATAGAATTTATACTTTTTGGAAAGCTGACTTTACATAAAATACGATAAATGAAACAAAACCTAAAAAATTTTTGATACCGAGGGGACCAGGTCCATCCAAAAAAACCCTATTTTTTATGGAAAATTAAATTTTGAGCGAAAATTCTCAAATCGCATAGTCGATATCAAATTATAGTGACCTGTTTTATATGACCCAATATGTTCTTAATCATTTTGTAACGGGTTTCGATAACCCCGCCCCTGGTATGGATATAATAGGCAAAAAACCAAAAAATCCCATTTTTGGGATTTTTTAAAACTTTTTTGGGAATTCCGGGATTTCTAATAAGAAAATTCGAAATTTTTATTTAATTTTGGATTTTGAGTAAAAAAATCTACCTAACTGTAAAATTTCATCAAAAAATATTCATAAATAAAATTTTTATTGCAATTTGAAAAATTTGTATCTTCGCAAAAACTGAATAAAAAACATTTTTTATTTTTTTTTTTAAAAAAGTATTCCTCGAATTTTTTAATTTTCAAAAATTATATACAGTCTTGAAAAATAGACAAAATTACCTTTCCATTGATATATAACATGCCTACCTAATGTTTTGTAAGTGACAAATTAATTAGGGAAAACTCAACATCTTTTAGAAAATTTACCTAGCACTATTATTTTCATCCATAAGGTTAACTCTTAAATTTGTTACATATATGGATGAAAATAATAGTGCTAGGTAAATTTTCTAAAAGATGTTGAGTTTTCCCTAATTTGTCACTTAAAAAACATTAGGTAGGCATGTTATATATCAATGGAAAGGTAATTAAAAAATTCGCGGAATACTTTAAAAAAAAAAATAAAAAAAATGTTTTTTATTCAGTTTTTGCGAAGATACAAATTTTTCAAATTGCAATAAAAATTTTATTGATGAATATTTGTTGATGAAATTTTACAGTTAGGTAGATTTTTTTACTCAAAATCCAAAATTAAATAAAAATTTCGAATTTTCTTATTAGAAATCCCGGAATTCCCAAAAAAGTTTTAAAAAATCCCAAAAATGGGATTTTTTGGTTTTTTGCCTATTATATCCATACCAGGGGCGGGGTTATCGAAACCCGTTACAAAATGATTAAGAACATATTGGGTCATATAAAACAGGTCACTATAATTTGATATCGACTATGCGATTTGAGAATTTTTGCTCAAAATTGAATTTTCCATAAAAAATAGGGTTTTTTTGGATAGACCTGGTCCCCTCGGTATCAAAAATTTTTTAGGTTTTGTTTCATTTATCGTATTTTATGTAAAGTCAGCTTTCCAAAAACTATAAATTCTATATACATCTTCTTAGAAAGAAGATGTAACTGATTCCATAAAGTAAACAAAGTTTTCCAATGCCTGTTGGGGAAGATATAATGGCACCGATACATGTTTCAAATCAAGTCGCAATTCTCCAATGTCGATGAAAGCTTTCTGACAGCGTAAGAAATCAAGGCCTAATAACGAGGGTGTTGAATCGTTGACACTAGAAATTCATGTGACAGTGGTAGTTTATTTAAACGAAATTGTATAACTGCTGTGCTTGTGGCTTTAAAAATTTCTCCGCTGGGGCCACGAAGGAAAATACTGCAACCTCTTGGAGCAGACGGTGGTACCAGCTCGAAGTTAATCAGTGAAGCAGAAGCACCAGTGTCCACAATAATTTCATGAGGGTGGTCTTCAATGAAAGCCACGCAATGTAAACTTTGATCTCCCCAGGCGCCTATATTGTGGGGAGTCTCCGAATTTATTGCTGTGTTGTTATTTACCAGATTGTCTTCCTCAATATCATCATAACTATTTATGTGCTCTAATTCTATTTCTTGTGATATTTCTGTTATTTGGCAAGCACTTTTATTGTTGCTCATCGGCTTGGGCTTCTTCAAGCCGATGCCTGTTCGTTTCCCGACTTGTTGCCCTTGCGAGTTCTACGTGAACCATCAACATTAAACTCCGGTTCTACCTCTACATTATACACACTTCGTGGCTTAGACCTGTTCATTTGAGATTGCAAATCATGGGTTGTTCTCAACGCCTCTCCAATACTTTTAGGCCGACTAGCCACTACCAAGCCTTAAAGCTGAGTATCCCGTAAGCCATCAATAAACTGATGTACAACTATTTCCGATGCAACTTGTTGAGGAACACCTTTGAATGCGCTCGATGACAAACGCTCCAACTTCATGGCGAAATCCTCTACAGACTCTCTGGGACCCTGCACACACTGCCTGAAATATTGATAGCTGGCATGCTCATCTAAGGCAAACCTTTCACGCATTAACTGTCGCACCTGTTCATAAGTAGGAGTAAGATTACTAGGGATTGTACCATACAACCGTAGAGAACGACCTCTTAAATTTGAAGTTACAGCCATCAGTTTTTCATCAGAACTCCAACTATAAAATCTTGCAGCATCCTCTACTTGACGTTCATAATCTGTCCACGAGGTGGATCTATCATAAGTCGAAACATGGGCTTGTTTTGAAAAGCCGGTGGATAACCATAGGACCTACTGATGACTGACAATTTACACATGGATGCTGTACTGAGTGGTTATTAAATCCATTGAGGTGAACATCATAATGTGGACGTGGTACATTATTCTTACTTGCGCGGGTGTCCTGGACAGGGGATATTTTCCAATCCATCAACGTGCTTATGGCTGTTACTTGGCACTCCTGAACTTGAAGAAAGATTATCGTTAGCGTGTGACTTATGTCTTGGTAAACGATCCTCAGTAGCAGGAGGAGCTATGTGTTGCGAAACTTCTACGTTATTCAAGTTATCAACTGCCGTAGTTGAGTTATTAGGATAAATAGGATGTCGACTTTCATATCCAGAGTCTAGAGCCGCAGTAGAATTAATAAATATGTTCTACCTCACATAGCCTAGTACTTATGTTACCATGTATTTCCCTAATATTTTTAATTAGCTCATCGTCACGCCGCTCATTCATTCGTGATTCGTAGGTAATTAAAACTGAATTACGTACAACTTGTGTAATTTGCAGCAGAAATTTTGTATTGCGAATCATGTAATTCAGTTCGTAATTTTGGGTTGAATGGCGAATGAGAGCGTGAATGCCGAATAATTGCTTCTCATGAACGGGGTATAAAACAAAAGAAACCATTTAAATCGGTTATTTGAATATCGGTTTTTATTACTTGCTATAAAAGAATTCCACATACATTTTTTAGTAGGTGGAATGGAATTTTGAAAATAAAGGATATCAAAAAGGCTTTTTATTATCGTTAATCCCAGAGGGTTAAGGTTTATTATAATAACGACAATGGTTTAATTTTTCTAATACTAAACATGTATTCAAGAAAATAAAAAAAAAATAATTCATTAAATTTTTTGGACTTTAGAATATAGTCCCTCTATATATTGAATTACGAATTAAAAACATATACAACTTTTTACAAATTTATTAGAAATAATACATAACACAATATTTTCAGTTTATTTGTAGACCATTTGAAATAATGTCTCTTCGAAAATCCATTGAAGCAAGTGGTTATGTGATTGATAACACTGAACACATTTATATTCCTTTGGTAAGTATAAAAACTAAAAGCTATTAGAATATTTTTTATTCTAATATTTTCAACTATATTATACTCACCCCGAAATATTTATAAGATTAAACTTAAGTCAGGAGCTATTGAAGCAATCACGAAAGAAATTATCAAGGATATTTGTAATAATACACATTTTTGTGATCAAAAAATAATTTAATTTCAATAATCACTGTTTAAGAAATTATTGTTTAGTATGAATATCTCTCAAACGATGCGTCTTAATGTACTACATACATACGAGAAAAATAAAAAACATTTTTTTTGAAAAGATCCTCAGATCCCTACTTGCGATTGAAAATCTTGATCTCAGTACAATTTGTTCAAAAATAATTTTGTGTAATCTTCTCGAAATGGGTGTCAAAAATTACGTAATTTTGATGTTATCGCGGAAAAAATAATTAAAATTGTTGTTGGTGTATTTCTGGTCCGCAAAACGACTTTTATTGTATTATAAGGATCACATAAATTAAAAAAAATCCTAAAAAATTCTGAAATGGACTAAACCAAATGCCAAACAATTTTTTAAATATTTTTCTGTATGAGGTAAAAATTACGACAATTTCGATAAAAAGCGAAAGTAATATTCCTCTCCAACCCACTAAAAATCATATTGTAGACTAAAATATTCTACAAAAATTTTGAAATTATTTTTGACGTAATCAGCAGAAAATTACGGAATTTTTGAGACCCATTTTGAAGAAATCGATTTTTAAAAAAGTTATACTGAGGTTAGGAATTTCAATCGCTGGTAGGGAACTGAGGACCATTCGAAAAAAAAAAATATTTTTTTAATTTTTCCCGTGTTCAGTACTTTAATGCGCATCGCTTGATAGGTATTCCTACATGAAACATAATATATATATTTATATATAAACCATATATATTTGGGTCTTTATAGATAGCGGTGTCGATTTAGCCGTGTCAATCTTACCGTCTGTCTGTCTGACTGTCTGTATATCGGTGAGTATGTTGAAATCAGTTTTCAGAAGGCCCCAGATATCTGCGAGATCCGAATCTTCAATAATTCTATTAGACATACATACGTTCGGGAAGAACGCTATTTAAAATCAGCAAAATCGGTACAAAAATAACGGAGATATAAGCAAAAATCTGAAAATTTCATCAAAAATTAAGGCTTTGCCGAATACGAAAAAGTACCAAAAAGTCCCATTTTATAGATTCTCATATATTCCGAGTTCTACATGCTTAATTTCATCTTCTAGGTTCAATATTATAGCAAATTCAAAACGTACCTTTTGATGAACGAAGAATTACCAAAAAGTCCCCATTAATATGTTCTCACTTATTCCGGGCCCTACATGCTTAATTTCATGTTTCTAGGTTCAATATAATAGAAAATTCAAAAAGTACCATTTGAAGAACGAAAAAGTACCAAAAAATGCCCTTTTATCACTAACTCCTGACCCCATATGCATAATTTTATGCTTCTAGGTACAATATTATAGAAAATTCAAAAAATCCCCTTTTATAGGTAATTACTTACTCCGCGCCCTACCAAAATGTCTCCTTTAACTGGTGGATCCGAGACATGCTTTTGAGAAGTTTCCTATTAAAAATCAGCAAAATCCGTCCATAAATAACGGAGATATAAGCAAAAATCCGAGACAACTTCTGAAAATTTAATAAAAAAAACAATTTTTTGCATGCTTTGTTAAATAAGCAACACCAACATTGCTTATTGGAAAAAGATTTATGTTTGAATGTATGTTGGTTTCATTGCGTTGTGGATTTTTTTTTTTTTTTGTATTTTATTTCAAATGTTTGTATGCCTGTTTTTTGTGTTCTATTTCGTTTAGCGTTGTTGTTGTTGCTTTTCTCCATGGAAGTACTGAAAAAGACCTGAAGAAGTGATGATTTTAACACAGACTTGTCATAGGAGGGATGTCCTTCTTATTTGATTCCAAATTCACTATATCTGAAGTCATTCTCAAGAAGTAATTTTAATGCTCTTTTTTTGGAAGTTATTCGGAAGTGAAATTGTAGTATTATAGAATACAACTAATTTGACTTAAATAATATTAACATTAATAAGGGTAATAGAAGCATTAAATACAAAAGTCCAAATATAACATTTTTTATCTCATAAAAATGAAAGAACAAAAAATATATCTTCAACATTGTAAAAATTATAATTATTTTCGCTTTTTCGGAAGTCTTTAAAAATCACTTTCTCAGAAGGTAAAAAAATCAATTAGTGCTACTTTTGAAGTGATGGTAAATGTTATTCTTTTGGAAGTACATCGTTTTATTTTATTTAAATTTTATAAAATTAATATTTTTTAAATATGTACACTATGGTGGTATATAAGATGCGGCAAAGGCGAATATAGACTTTTTACTTGTTTTAAAGTATTTTACATAGGAACCATACTATTTATTTTATTTGTTTTTAAAAATACGTTAGAAAAATTTCTTAATACAAAATTGTTCAAAAGCTTATTTTTCCATATAAAACATCCTTCAAAAAATTTTTCCATTTTAACAAAAATTTTAAAATATAAAACACCAAAATCGAATCAGAAATAACCAAGTTATTCTCGATTTCTTAGAACAATTATTATACAAAAATTTTTATTTTACGCATATTTGGACCCATATTGAAAAATACATACAAAATGATTTTTTTACACAATGAATATTCAAGGGTGTAATCAATGGGATTACACTAAGTAACCACAAAGCTCTTAAAGGGAACGGTCTAAACTTTTAAGTAAAAAAAATACAACAAAATCGTTCATTTTGAAAAAATATGGTAAAATTAAGTGCCAAATATTGAAAAAAAAAAAAAATATTCTAGAGTTAAAAAAATTATAAAATAATACATATGCCACTCGCATCCCATTATGGGAATATGTCTAAATATTTTTGGAAACAATGAAAAAATAGCTTTCTGAACTCCTTTGGACAATTTTTGTTAGGACCAATAGGAGAAAAGTTACATTTGAATAAAACCTTGTATGACCAAAATGTCCAACTTTGATCCACTCTAAGTTACATTTGAATAAAACCTTGTATGACCAAAATGTCCAACTTTGATCCACTCTAAGTCCGGCAGTTCTTGACCGATAGAGCTGAACTATCCAATAGTACTAACCTTGGTGCAAATTCCAAGCCAGGGACTGTTATACCTCTCTGCAAATACAAAAGGCGTTACATATCATTTTGTTGACCAAATGGACATTAAAAACCGTGAGCATGAGTTACTTAACCGATGGAAAAATATAAAGTCTTTACCTCAACTACAAAAACAGCACTATTTCAGTGTACTCAGATTCAGAAAGCGAATTAAAAAAATCGTCAAAAAAAATAGACTAAAAATAAAATCTTAAAAAATTATTAAATAGGGTAGTATTAAGATTGATCACATATAAACAAATTTTTTATAAAGGCAACCTGTTACTAAATATTTACAAATATAAACTAAAAAAATATTAAAAAGTTTATTCAATTCATACTCGTCCGGTTTAGCTAAATTTTGATGATTTCTTAACAAAGTCGTACATTTGGTAAAAGTACTCGTAGCAACCGCCACGGAGTTTAAATTCCTTATTGCATAAAAATGGTTGAAAAATTAAATTTTTTTTCTTGAATATCTTTAAAAGGACTATAGTACTCTTTGGAATATGTTTAAACTGTATTAATTTCTGTTTTCATTTTGATATTATAACAGTTCAAATGTGTACAAATGAAACGACCGTCATCGTGGAATGACCCAAAAGTAAAAAACAACATAAAGATTTTTTTTAAATATTAAATTTTTCAAAATTGACCAAGTTTCGATAGGGCTGGTGGGGGGTCAGTGTCCGCTTAAATGATCCAAATTTTATTTTACATTCTTCTGCATAAAGTTCTCTTTCCGGATCACATAAATTTTGTGTATAGTTCCGAATAAAATTAGTTTCTATAAAAGAAAGAATGCACGGACTTTTTTGGGAAAAAACCAAAAAAATTCGTCACTTTTTACATGTTGTAATTTGAACAAATTTAGGACTCTTCGTAGGCCCTCCACATTTATACAATACAAACAATTTAAACCTAAATATCACTTAAAGCAAAAGATATAACCCACACATTTAAGCGTGTGGGTTATACAAAAAATGTAAACCTAAATATCTTTTAAAGCAAAATAGCTAACCCACACATGTAAGCGTATAAGTGTATAAGTTTATGTAAGTTGATAGATCTTCTCAAGGAGTAGATATATTTTAAATTTCAGCTGATTTAAATCATAAATTAATTTTTGGCGATTTTTAAAAAATGTATACCCGAGGCGATCAACTTTGAGGGGCTACCCACTGGCCCCCATTCTGTCCTCGATCACCTAAAACTGTCAATCAACACGAAAACACCTCAGCTCCAAACATGTGAAATTTCATTGCGATATATCCAATAGTTTTAGAGATGCCGAATTATTTCCAAATTTAAAAGTTTATAAACAAATTATAAATAAGTCTAAATAAAAATTACCAAACCCATTAAGATCCCATTCTTAATTATTTACTCCGCAATGACAATAATTTTGTTTATTTTGTATAAAAAATTAATAAAAATTAAAATATCCTTTTTTAAGATATTCAATGATAAACGACATTTTCCATTTTTTTGGTCCTTTACCAGGACTTTATGTAATTTTTATGAAATGTCAATAACAAGTAATCGATGTCATGTCGAACGAAACCTCATTCGTTAAAATCGGATAACGGGTTCCAAAGTTATTCAGTCTTTAAAATTTATAATTTTTCACAAAAATACCCGATATGCCCATGTTTAGAGCCCCATAAAGTATGAACCGTATAAGTAATGTATCAAAATTATTCGTCATAGAAATCGCATTTAGTAGAAAATATGCTCCGAGTTATAACTAAATTGAAAGGGGTCAAAATTTAAAGTGGTCGTAATGTCTGTGGAATGTGCTTTCTTAATCAGGTTTGCATCAATTGAGTTTTCCCGCATAA